GCAGGGGGCGCAGCCCACTAGTTAAATAATGATTTTGTTTGAATATATTTATCGACTTTGTTAACCTTCATCTATGAAAAGGTACTTTTATACAGGTATACTAGGGAAATGAATTTGTATTTTTGTAGTGGTAGATACACTACAGTACTCCCCCCAGAATTTTATCTGTGAAAGAATTCGATAAATGGAATACCATTATTTGACTCATTGCTGCTTTGTGTGAAGCCGGGAGAGCTGTATTAAGATTACCGTACTTTTTAACCGCTGATCGTGAGAGTTGTATTAAGTTCAAGGTCAGGGTCGCTCCCGTGTTGCCTTTAGCAATCGAGTGTATAAGTTGTACGGTGTGTGTGATTAAGACTGAGAAGCAACAGCGTGAGGAGGACAATGTCGCAGTCACAAGTAGCAAGTCAACTGTTCAATATGGACAATCCAACAAATAAACTTGTTCAAATCAAAGAGGGAGTTTCTGTCAAGATAGGCGTGTTCACATCACGTCCGGGTCTCCAATGTGGGATTATATTTATCGACCATGTCAACTTTCATCTATGAAAAGGTACTCCAACATAGAATCGAGTTAACATGTCCTATAAACTAGGGAATTGGGATTGTATTTTTGTAGTGGCGCTACAGATGCACTACAGATTTCAATAAAAGTTTAAAAAATTATAAATGTTATACATTAGTAATATAGTTTTATAATACATTTTTCCTTTGCAATTATGCACATTTTCAAGAAAAGAGTTATAATGGTTTTATAGAAGGAAATAATTTTTAATTTTCTTTCTATTAATTACATATATGCACAGATAAATATATGTTCAAAATATTTGTGTAATTGAACAAAAAATTTTTATGTCATAGCAGATTGAAAATTGAAATCATCATTGAAGTCTATTTTAAAGGCAAATTGAAAGCTGGAATTTAGGGTTTGAATATTATTTTTAATTAATAAGTTTTTTAAAATATTATTATACCAAGTTTTTTTTAAAAAAAAAAAAAACGAAGTTGAAATGATAATTTGCATCAATCAAAAAATTTAGGTGTACCTTTGTAGAAAAATAGATTGCAATTTATAATAGATACCCGTTAAAGTTTCTAGTGTTTTTATTCTCGTAACAGATAACGACCGTTTTTTTTTGATAAAAAAATTAAAGCAAACGACAATGACGCGTTTAGCTATCTCGTAGCTGTAAATTAAATTAGGATAAGAAATTGCAAACTATTCTGTAGATAAATGTAGATAAGGAATATATCTTATATCAAACTTATTGGCTATTCAGTAAATGTGTGTTTATGGCATTGCGTTAAGTCTTATTTTTTTCACAAAAAATCATGTACAAAAGTAAATATAATTTTACGTGGAAAATCGAAAATTTTTCTTTTCGCCCGCATGACATGGAAATATCGTGTCCCCCCTTTGATATTAAAAATTTTAAAGCACTTACAGGATTTTTATATCTTTTCCCAAGAGGAGAGAGTGAAGAATGTTCTGAATTTATTTCATGCAATTTAAATTTGATTGCAGATGACCCCATTGATTCTATTCAATGTGAAATTGAAGCAATTGGAGCCAGTGGAAAGATATTGAAAAGTTATAAGTGGGATACATATGCAAACCAAACCATTAAAACGGAGTTAAATGTTCCTAATTTCTTGTCTATCAAAGATTATGTCAGAGATGCAGAAGAATCTGCAGAAGATACTCTTACAATTTGTTGCAAATTTCATGACGACATTTCTACTGAGATTGTGACTGAGGAAGATTTCTGGTGCTTGAAGATTGGTGTCTATCGGAATACTTTTAAAATGGATATACCTAGAGAGGAAACAACGAAACATTTATTAACTTTAGGAGCGAATAATAATTTCGAAATTTCCATCACCGAAACAAACAGTAACTTTAAAGTTACATTTACAAGGGTGGTTCCAGAAACCGATTATGATGAACCATGCATTGTGGACTGTACTTTGACCCTGATTAATGAATACCATTCAAAAATATTATCTGCGAGAGAAAAGCATCATTTTTCTTCAGAAAATTGCTCAAATTGGGAATTTCCCTCAGAATACCTTTCTGAACTATGGAAGAGCAATCTAAATTCTTTGGATGATGATATGTATATTTATTTTGAGTTTTCCGCTTCGAATGGAGAATATTTACAAATTAGCATGCCTAAATATAAATCATCATCTATTCCCAACAAATCATCCTCCACAACAAGTGCTAATCCTTCATTGCAGGAAGACCTTCGAAATCTATTCCATAACAAACATCTCAGTGATGTGAAATTGCGAGTGGATGGCGAAACTCTTGAGACACATAAAAATATTCTAGTGGCTCGATCCCCGGTGTTTGCTGCTATGTTTGACCACCAAGACATGGAAGAAACTCGCAGTGGCATTGTGGACATCGTTGATATTGATGCCGACATTATGAAAACATTTTTGGAATTCTTATACACCGATAGAGTAGATCAAATAGATTATGAAATCTCTATAAAACTTCTGATGGCTGCAGAAAAATACCAAGTATTGTCATTGAAAGAGAAATGTGCGATGTTTTTGAAAAATGAAATGTCAGAGGAAAATGTATGTGAAATATTGTCTCTGGCTGATGCAGTTAGTCATGAATTTTTAAAATCAGCTTCCATTGAATATATAATAGTGAAATCAGCAACAATTTTATCTTCTCCCCAATGGATACCGTGGATGAAAAACAATATGGAATCTGCGACTGCAATTTTTGCAAAATTAACGCTAAGCCAATCTTCAGCAAAAAACTGAGCAACTAGTAAGTTATAGATGAAAAATGCAACTTTTATTTTACTTACAAAGATTTTCATAATAACCTTAATATACATTTTTATAAAATGTAATCTATTTTAAAAACGAAGTTAAGACATGCTTAAAATTCTTTCGTTCTTAACATCATAGCTTAATATCAGTTTGTTTTAACAAATTTAAATTCCTAAAATTTTCATTATGTTCCATAAAATTTCATTTTGTAAACTGAAAAATCTTCAATAAAATTTTTATGATATTATATGTATGTATTATATGTATGATATTATATATATATGCTATTGCTTGTTATGATTTTGCTCAATATTGCTTGTTATGATTTTGCTACAATACTATTTCTTGTTATGATTTTGCTCTCATATTAAAAACTAGTTAGGGTAATTTATTCTTTGGTGAAATAAGAACGTGTAAGGAATTCAAAATGTTCATCCAGAAAGTGGCTAAATCGAAAATTTAGTTCAAATTCTTCACTCAGAAAATAATATGTTCTAAGCTCTACTGGCTCTAAAGCACAGTAATTGTAAGATTGCTGACTTCACATGACCAAAACAAAATGGAGAAATAAATCAAGAGTGATTTCAAAGCATATAATTTCAATCTTTTTTTTCTGTCAAATGAACACTGAAAATTTCATTCCCTGAGAATTTGTAACTTTTTAGAAATGCATCAAGCAAAATTTTAAAAATAAATTATCTTCAATCGAGCAGATTTGAAAATTCATAAACAGGATATTAAAAATTCATCATCCGTTATAATTTCACTCGAAAATAACAAGTACACTAATTAATCTAATCTTATAACTATGTCTCCATATCTGTAAGATTAATTAACACTTCTATTTATAGATAAAATTAAAATAAATTCTTGAAAGAATTCCTCGGAACATTTCTTAATGAATATTTTCGTTCATTTACATCTAGAAAATTCTGGAAGTATTAGGAGCACAAAACTGGTAGATATCAAGATGAAAGAATTAGCTTATAGCTTATATAGAGGGAGAAAAACTTAAGGCATCAAATTGTAAAATAATAAAGTAAAAATGCTTAAGTGAGTTATGAGTAAAACAAAACGAGGTATAAATAAAGAATGCTTGATGAACATTACCACAGTAATTTCACCGAAACACTTTGCAATGACTTTTTGGTAAAATAAACAATAAAATGTTGTATTAGTACCATACTGTTAGTTAGTAAATGTGGTAAAATTATGTAATTTTATTCAAATTCTGGTAATTTTAATAGTTCTAGAATAATTTGAGATATGCAAAAAATGTTCATTTTGATAATCTTTATCAGCGATTGTTAGCTTTGTTTTTTGTTAGTTAATTGTTTTTAATTCTTATGTAAGCAATAAGCTACCATCAACCAACCTTAAAGGCTGTAAAAATTATGTATTTATTATCATAAAAATAGCCGGATAAGGCAAAATAAAACAAAAAAAGGAATAAATTTAATCAACTTAACTGTTTCTTATCGTGTCTTATCTTTTACTTATCATAGCTCTCTCGACATCCTAAAATGAAAGTGCAGATGTTGTGGATTCGAATCACACAATATTTGTTTTAAATTTTGTCTGCGCGAATTTTTGCTATCTTTTTCTTGATAAATAATTTGCAAATTAGAAAAAAAAACTCGCTTCTGCATCACGAATTTAATGCATGTGTTGGTCGTAACATGCATTGAAAATCATTTGTTTGAGTACTAAAATCATTCATTAAATACATTAAATATATTGAATATTCAATCAGGGAGTTAAAAAAAGTATTTACCATGTTTTCGCTTTTATGGGCTCCGTCACGAAATTTCGGTGATTTTTATCGGAGCGCTTTTGAAAAATTAACAATAAAATATAATTTTGTCATGTGAGATATAATTTGATAAGCATGGTAAAATTTGGTAAATGTGGTAAAATTTGGCATTTTTATCATGATACCGTAGAGCATGGCACAAAATCACTTATTTAGTGAAATTTATTTTTCAGTTTTGTATTTTTTACCAGATATGTTGTAAGAAGACCTACAAATTTAAAAACCAGAATTTCAAGTGAATACCATACCATATAAATGGAAAAAATACAAAACGAATGGTTTAATACTAGAATGAGGTATGCTAAATTTCTCGGGGAATGGCGGAATAGCCAAAAAATAAAACTAACATTAGAACGTCGAAACTTTGGACCACTCTCTTCAACAAACTATTGCGACCATATTCGACAAATTACGGCTGTATTTTGTGAGTCAGATGTCCGAATCTTTAAAACGATGAATCTGATCGACAGTTAATTAAATGTCACTCTAGGTATAGTAAAGGAAGAATGGTGTTCCACATTCATTCAGAATACTTTAAAAACAAATATTTTAAGTTCTCCATTGCTTCAAAAGATAATAACCTCATTGAATCGATGTGGAAACCACGCAATCGATTTTATTGGTTTGTGGTTACATGCAAAATAACTATGCTGGATATGAAGAACTATGAAACCTGCTCAGAAACATACAGACATTTCTTTGAGGAAAAAGAATGCACAATAACAATTCCTTTAGACATATTTTTAAATGAACTGAAGCGAAACGCTGAAGAATACCAACGCTCCATGATAAAAACTGTTTATTTGACAGCTGAATTCTCCTATTCTAACGGAATGTATACACACTTTATTCAAAATAACAAATCCTTTCGAACCAAAATTCCTTCCTTAAAGGATGATCTACGAGCCTTATTTTATAACAAAAAATTTTGCGATGTGAAATTGCGAGTGGAGGACCAAGTTATCGAAGCCCATAAAAGTGTTCTGGCAGCTAGATCTCCAGTATTTGCTGTCATGTTTGACCATGGTATGACTGAAACGCAGATGGGCATTTTTGACATTGTTGATACCGATATTCATATTTTGAAGTTATTTTTGCAGTTCCTGTACACGGATACCGTGGATGAAATGGATTATGAAATCGCAATGAATCTGTTGATGGTGGCTGAAAAATATCAAGTTCTGTCGTTAAAAGAAAAGTGTTGTATGTTTTTAAAAACTGAAATGTCCATTGAAAACGTGTGTGATATATTGTCTTTGGCTAATGCAGTCAATCACGAATATTTGAAATCAGCGTCTGTAGACTTTATAATTGGAATACCAGGGAATGTTTTGCAATCACCAAAATGGGAAACATGGAAGAAACACAATAAGGAATTGGTGAGAACAATTTCCTTTCAATTATACTTAAATGCGTCTTCACGAAAAGCTAATATGTGCTGTAAGTATTTAAAGAAAGATATATAAGCTATCTTTACTTATAATGTTTTCATTGAACATTAATACAAATGTATCTGATAAGAGCATAACCTTAAGGGTTTTCAAATCTTTTCCAGTAAGTAAACCTTGTTTTTAGAAAATCATATTATTTAGTTATTTTACAAGTGATATTGCATTTTTGTTAATTGGTGAGATATTTTGATTCTAAAATCATGCTAAATTAAGTTAAATTGAATGTAGATTTCGAAGGGCAAACGACATGGAATCTACAATATTGTGTACGGAATATACGGAGAAAATAATTATGGCAAGACAACTATACTTGTATGATAAATGCAAAACTGGTGTAAAAAAGCTAGAATTTTGGTAATTAAATCAAAATATACACTTGTTAAACAATCCAGTTGTATTTATACTATTTATAATTTTTCCGTTCGTTATGGTAATGGTTTACAATCTTGATTTTCAGAAATATAGTTATTGTCACCTCATATTTAGCAAAAATGGAAAAACAGAGAATTAAATTTGACCGAATAAATAATTTTTATATCTTTCTCTAACGTGTCGCAATAAGATTATCAAACGTTCTTCAGAACTATTATTCATTTCAGGATTCGTTTGATAATTTTAACTTTTTTCTGTGCCTTTTACAATTAAAGTAGCAATAGTTTTTTCAATGGGTTATTTGAAATTGTACTTAATTTTAATGGTTAGGAGGTGGTTAATTGTTTATTTATATATATATTATATTATTATACTATTATTATTAATATATTGTTCATTACTGAAGAGAAAGTAAATCTATCTGACGCTTTCAAGTGCTTTAAAGATACTAAACTCGGATTAATAAAATTATGCTGACTGTTTTATGAATCTGTTATGGTTAAATAGGATTTATTTATTTATTTGTAAATACAAATAAAGGATTATAAACTTTTTTCAATCTGAAAAATGGAGAGCACAAGTTAACGTAACAAGACAAATATGCATACAGTGCCATAGCGGTATTCGATCTTGCAACATCCCTGCTCCAAAGTCGTCATCAGAACAGTAATACCGCAAGGCTAGATGGACTCCTTGGCTTTGCTGATAGTAGAGCAATCATACATTTTTCGGGTTTTGATGCCAAGGAGGACTGTCCTTATTTTTGAGTTATCTGTTTTCAATTTAGCAAGTGACGAGTCCATTTTTTTGTATTAATCACGCGAGCTTGCATAAGTATTGAAACCAAATTTATTTATCTATTTTCATACATCCAGGGATTCGAACTCGCTACCTTCATTTCACGCAGACGTTTTATGTTCGGCCACAGAGACTCCTATAAAACAAATATTCTAATGAAATCAATATTCCAGCTATTTATTCTTTATTTATTGTCACACATATATATGATGACTAATGAGCTCATTTTAAAGTACGATTTAGTACAAGTTTTTGTTATGCTGAAAGTTAGAGAAGTACAAATTAGAGAAGAACATTACAACGATGCAACTGTCTTAGCAGAGAGGTAACTGATTCGAATCTCACAGTATCCCTAGATTTTTGATGCGCTTCTCCATCTTGTGTTAGTTATTGTTTGACAACCTGCATATGTATGTGTTACAGTAAATAAATCAATATAAATAAACAAATAAATAAATATTTTTTTTCTAATCCCCTCCTGTGATAACATCCGTTAATTCAGGCATCTACAGGGCGATTTTGTTGACCTCTCTTACAGGGCAACATATTAGGCTGGCCAGCGTCGCTGTCTCAGTAAGGACAGATAGCACAGAGAAGGAAAGAACATCCATGCCTAGGCCGGGATTCGAACCCAGAACCTTTGTGATGTAAGGACACTTCCCTGCCCCCTACACTGGCTTGTCGGCCAAATACTTAAATATAAATACATAAATTAAGCAATGGTATGTAAGTAAAGAAAAATAAAGAAATAAATGTAAATGTATAAATATATTTATATTTTTGCTACCGGGTATTGGTGGGTCACGAAATCCCTAAATCCATTTAAGATGTTGGGACAGCATGCTACGTAATATTTGAGCTACTGATTTAGTTCAGGCTACTGCTTTCGTACATTACATATTTTAATAGTTTTTAAAGTTTGTAGACGTCAGCATCTAGCTAGCATAGAAAAAATATTAACCGGTAGAAAGCAGAGTAAACACGAGTTTAGTAAATAACATAGAGGTTATCAAACGAATATTTTCGTTATCTCAAATAATACAAAAACTGCTGAACTTACCAACTATTTTTGAAACAATTACCTCATTTTGCCTTATTTTCCACCAAAAAGCGTGATAATCAAACCATGTTTGATTCTTAATTTTACTACAATATATTACCAAAGCACTACATTGAAAATTATCGTACTTTTCAGAGTTCCCACAGGCACGGAATCTTTTTTCAATATCTTATACCAACAATGTCACTGCTAACAGCTCTACCAATCGTCCAGCGAAAATTTCATTTATATCATCATTTGGTTTGCTATCTTATATTTGTAAAAAAATGACAAGCAAATTATAAGAATTACGAATCAAATTACGGCAAAAAGTATTGGCTTCCTGAGGTCATCATCCGTAAAATAAATTTTTGCCATAAATTGGATTTAACAGTGAGATGGAATTTACCATAAAATTTGAAAAATTTGGTTTCGAAAAATGTAGAATAAGGGCATTCATTAGAAAGCACCACATGATTTAAAAAAATCAAATGGTAGGGAATTTTAAATTAAGTTGTCGCAAAATGTGAATAAAGATGATCATTTCTGTACTCACTATATCATTCGGTATATCATTTTTAAATACTTAAATTTAAATTATTTAAATAAGCGTTGATCAAAAAAATAAATTATTGTTACAAAAAATTATTTAATTTAATTTTGCATTAAACATGCATTGGATTAACTTTTGATAATCGAGTTTTATAATTTTGATGTGTGCATTTTTGAAATTTTTTTAAAACTAATTACAAAGATATGATTCAATTTGCAAAAAGTAAAAATAAAATACTGCGTATGGATTCCAAACCTACGACTAGTCTTCTGTTCAAGTTATTACGGCCATATTTCCCAGATTGCAGCTACACCTCATAATTTGAGATGTGCTAAGTCTGTCGGGGAATAATGCACAGACAGAAAAAAAATTGTCAAATTTTTAATCAAGTATTTCATCAGCACAAATTAACTAGCGTGTTCAAATTCAATCCCCCGAACTCAACCACCTTTATTATTAGAAATTTAATCGCAGAGAAGTTTCTAGGGTGTTTCGATTTTAATTTTGTATTCTAAATTTCTTTTTTTTTACAGGTATTAGTTAAATTTTGAACTCTGTTTTATGGATACCTTAATTACTTTAGATGTTATTCAAAGGAACCTTGAAGCTGTGGCACGATGTTCATGGAAAGTGTGAAATAATGAAACTCACATAACAGTCTAGCAACTTGGACCGATGCTTCCAGAAACTACTAAAATCCTGTAAAACTGTTGTTCTGTGCAGTTTCAAAACAATAAAGCCAAGCAGAAAAGAACATTTACGTAGAATGACGAATTCAATATACACTCAAAAACATATTTCAACCTAAGTCGCTTAAGAACATGAAGAAATTTAGAAAGTGAAATATTTGATGAAAAGCAAATGAATAAAATGAAAATTTCAAGAATATGTGTTGACTTTATTAGAGGACATTTATGAATGGAATTTTAAACAATTAAAAAGCTTTTCTCTCCTTAAGGTGACATAGTTTATTTTTTTATTTTCCCAAATAAAATAGAAAGTTACATTAAGTCAGATATTCTCATAGTGAAGCTAATTATTTATTGAATGGTGATTTTTGGTATGGACTGAGTTATTAGGGGGTCCGATGCAAAAACAAAATATGTTTATGATTTGATTTAATTTCAATAGTAGTTTTGCTCGTCGGAAATATAATTACTTTGATCAGTGCAAGAGTTAGGTTGAGTGAAATTTACCGTCTTGTAATTTTACTTAATTTTATAACTGTCGTTGAACAGCTGACCCGATATTTGAGTTTACCACTACCATGTTCAAGTCTGCATCCTTGTAAATTTGAACCCATTCTAGAAGACGAGTGAACTACTGGAATTTGGAGGATTTATTGATGAAACTAACATACATTTGCATTTCTGGAGAGGAAAATCTCCAAAGACCTCCCACTGTTAACTTGGGGGCAAGAAGGCTCTAACTTATGATCCGTCTACTGCTGAGGAAATATTTAACGCCAGGGTGTCGTCATTGTGAACCGGGTGTGGAATTCGTATCGATCAGCTATCTTTGGGATTCGAACACGGGTCAATTCATTAGGAGACGAGTGCTTTATCAATTCCTCCTAGAAGAGATAAGGCCTCAGCACGAGTTATCATGAACAAAAAATTTGATTCTTTAGTAATGACATCTTTCGTATTTTGCCCCAACAAAGCAGCTTAGAAGCCTGAACGCATTTACATATTTCTTATTTTCCTCTACAGCGCAGTTTATGTTCGTTACGTTGGAATAATAACTTGATCCATGCTGAGGTCTTCTTTCTTTTAGGGGGTGTTGGCTCAATCCCCTGAGCCACCACGACTCTATCTAAAATTATTGACTTCTTAAATCTCATTTGACTCTCAACAATAAATTATGAAACTTGGTTTATTTATTTATTTGTTTGTTTCTGCATCAAACCCTTTAATGGAGTTTAGCATAGTGAAGTTTGTTTAAATAAACCGTTTTTAAAACTATATTATGAAGTTAATATCAACGATATTTTTTAGGATGCGTACTTTAGACGGGCGAGCAGAAGCTAGTTATTCCTTTTTCTAAGGAAAATCGGTTCGTTCAGAGAAAGAAAATTAAAATAAACAATCATAGAAAGACTTAAAATAGCCAAAAGGGGTCAATTTCACCCTCGCAAGAAGAAACACTCATTTTTGAAATTTCATGACTGTTTTTCGTGACATTAGGAAGATGATTTGTAGAAGCGAAATGGGGTTCAAATTGTTAAAAAAATGTCACGAAATATTTTTTTAAAAATTATATAATATCGTGGACTCGGTGCTAGAAGTAGCTTAGTTAAGGTAATTTATATAGCTTTTTGCACAGTGTAATTTTTCACTGTGTAATTTCCCAATTCTATGATTTTTTGAGGCTCTTTGGGTGAACGTAAGCCTCCTCTATTCTTATCTTACTCGGCCTTTCCCATGTTCATTGAGCATTGACTTTTAAAAAATGACATTGGTTTTTAGCCCAAAAATTTTATACATGTATCCCAAGTATTAGATACTTTTTGGTTTTTACGAAGTTTATTGTAACATTTGCATATAAAACTTGTACATTATTACCTTATTTGGTATATTTCTAGTATTTATTTAGTTAATTGTATGCTTTAACTGTTAGTTTCCATTAACTGACCCTGTAACTGTTTTTAAAAACAGTCGTTGAATTTCATCGTTTCTGCCCCGTATCACTGTCTCTCTCTCTCTCTGGATGATTCACAAGATTTTCCTCTACCGGGTCTTTCTTGTTTTGGTGTCTAATTTCATAAAAACATTGTTTTTTGTTACAATTGAAACCAGGTATTTAAGCCACAAAACTATTTTGAATTCCCTTTCTTTATTTCTTTTAGTTAAGAGTCTGTATCAGTTTATTTAAAAACCACACTATTGGAAACGTTTAGAACAATTAACATAATTGAATAACAATTAGTTTAATAGTTGTACTACCATATTTAAACAAAACACCCAAATTATCATAAATAAGATGGTATTCAAACTGTTAACTGTGAGAAGAACGATTGGTTAACTAGATTCACCTAATACAGTCAGAATTTAAACAATCGCATTACCTATATTTCTGTAATCAAGCCTCCTAGTTCCTTGCTTTTGAGTACATATTATAGCCTGGAGGGCTAATCTGAAAGTCTAATCACCAACAGGACGGAGGTGCGAGCTCCACCGTTGACACCATATTATCTTCTTCTCTCCGTTTAACACATGAAGAGTTTCCAGTGCTTCGCACAGCACAATTTTCCCCTGTGACACTGAACTATCGGAATATGATACTATCATTCACGCGATGATGGCAGCACCTTAAGGCTGCTGAGCACAAAAAAATCTATTATTTCCCGCCTCGTACGAGAGGTGGAACAATGAGATAAACTAATTAATTTCCTTGTTTCTTTTGATAAAACATAACTCAACCACAACCTAACTCCGATTCCCATTACCTAGCGAAAAGTCTAGCTTCAAGTTAAATTTCTTTGTACTGTTTTGAAACTATCCTAGTTGTAAGTGGTAAAAAAACATATAGTTCAGTATTGATGGTTCTTATAACCAGAAGTGTTGTAAATGTTTTCAAAACTGTAAAGCAAACAAGGTTCTCGACCATTTACTTTACAGTTTATTGGGTGAATAGAATACTGCCGGTTATTTAATCGTAATTTTGGAATAAAAATTCTAACAGTGGATTTTGTTTCGTAAATTAATTTCAAAGTAATTCGAGCTTTTTGAAAATCATGACTTTAAAATATGACTATTTATTGCAATAACAACAAACTACTATTATTACTGTAATTGCTTAAACTAATATTATTACTGTAACTACTTAAACTACTATTATTTCTGTAACTACTTAAACTACTAATACTATTCAAGTATGACTTTTCAACTTTAAAATGAACGTTCTTGATATCACGGTCTTACAGGATAATTTTTACGGGCAGACGGAGGTAACACAAATTTTACTTAAGATTTTTAAAATATTTTTTAAAGTAGGGAAAAAAAACGATTTTTGTTAAGAATTTATTATTTGAATTCTAAAAAGTGATTTTGTAGGAATCGACCTTCAACTACCTTTCATCGACCTTCATCTACGAAAAGGTATCCCAACTTTGAAACGAGTTAACATGTCTTATATACTAGGGAATTGGAATTGTATTTTTGCTGTGGCAGACGCACTACAGTACTCCCCCTCCAGAATTTTATCTGTGATGGATTTCGATAAATGAGATACCACAAGTTGATTCATTGCTGTTTAGTGAGAAGTCGGGAAAGCTGTATTAAGATCACCGTACCTTTTGAGTGCTGATAGTGAGAGCTGTATTAATTTCTAGGTCGTGGTCGCTCTTAGCAGTCAAGTGTATCGAGACCGAGAAGCAACAGCGTGAGAAGGACAATGCCAGAGTCACAAGTAGCAAGTAAACTGTTCAATGTGGACAATCCAATGAATAAACATGTTCAAATCGAAGTGGGAGTTTCTGTCAAGGTAGGCGCGTTCACATCACGTCCGGGTCACCAATGTGGGAATATCTTTACCGACCATGTCAGCTTTCATCTATAAAAAGGTACCTCAACATACAATCGAGTTAAAATGTCTATATACTAAGTAAATGGAATTGTGTTTTTGTAGCGCTAGATACACCACAGATTTCAATAAAAGTTTAAAAATGTATAAATGATATATATTAGTAACATAATTTTATAGTACATTTTTCAAATATGCAGATTTTTCAAAAAAAAAAAATTATAATATTTTTAAACGAGGAAATTATTTTTTTTCTACTGAAAGCATATATGTACCGATAAATATCTGTTCAAAATATTTTTGTAATTTAACAACAAAATTTTATGTCATAGAAGATTGAAATTTAAAATATATCTTTCAAGTCAATTTTAAAATCTGTCATATCATTAAAGAAAAATTGAAGGTGGAATTTTTGCGTTTGAACATTATTCTTAGTTGATAAGATTTATATGAAATTTATTATTCCAAGTTTAAAAAATTAAATTAATATGAAAATTTTTATCAATCAAAAGATTTAGGCGTACCTTCGTGGAAACGTAGATTGTAATTTGAAATCGATACCCCTTAACATTCTTATGGATTTTTATTCGCACAACAGATAACGACATTTTTTTTTTGTTAAAAACATTGAAGTAAACAACAATGACGAGTTCTGCTATCTCGTAGAAGTAAATTGAATAAAGATAAGAAATTGCGTGTTATTCTGTTGATAAAGAATGTATCGAATATCAAACTTATTGGCTATTCAGTAAATGCATACTTGTTGCATCGCGTTAAGTCTTATTTCATCCACAAAAAATCATGTACAAATGTAAATATAATTTTACGTGGAAAATCGAAAATTTTTCTTTTTGCCACCATAATAATGGCATGAGATTGTCGCGTCCCTTATTTGAAAATGAAAATATTGGAAAGATTGTAGGCGATTTACAACTTTACCCAAGAGGAAAGAGTGAGGAATATTCTGAATTTATTTCATGCTCTTTAACGTTGCTTACAGCTGACTACTTTGATTCCATTCAAGGTGAAATTGAAGCAATTGGAGCCAGTGGAAAGATATTGAAAAATAAAAAGTGGAATACAATTTTTACCCCACCTTTTTCCGCAGCATTAAAATTTTATGATTTCCTTGCTATCGAAGATAATGTCCAAGATGCAGAGGATTGTGCCGAAGATACTCTTACAATTTGTTGTAAATTTCATACACACAATTCTACTGAAATTGTGACAGACGAAGATTTTGTGTACACGAAGATTGGTGTCAATCGGAATACTGTTGAAATGTGCGTACCTAGAGGGGGAACAACGAAACGCTTATTAACTTTAGGATCGAATAATAATTTTGAAATTTATATCACGGAAAAAAACGAAATCATTAAAGTTAGATTTATAAGGGTGGTTGCAGAAACAGCTGATAATAAACCATGCATTGTGGACTGTACTTTGACACTGATTGATGTGTGGAATTCAAAATTATATTCTGAGAGAGAAAAGCATTATTTTTCTTCAGAAAATTGCTCAAATTGGGAATTTCCTTCAGAAGCCCTTTCTAGAGAATGGCTAAACTTTTTGGATGATAATACCCAGAGTTATGCACGTTTTTATTGTGAATTTTCCGTTTCGAATGGAACATATTTACACTTTAACATGCCTAAATCAAAATCATCATCTATTCTCGACGATTCCTCCACGACAACAAGTGCTTCTCCTTCATTACAGGAAGACCTTCGAAATCTATTCCATAACAAACATCTCTGCGATGTGAAATTGCGAGTGGATGGCGAAACTCTTGAGGCACATAAAAATATTCTAGTGGCACGATCCCCGGTGTTTGCTGTTATGTTTGATCACCAAGACATGTTAGAAAGTCGCAGTGGCATTGTTGACATCGTTGATATTGATGCCCACATTATGAAATCATTTCTGGAATTCTTATACATCGATAGTGTAGATGAAATGGATTATGAAATATCTACAAAACTTCTGATGGCTGCAGAAAAATACCAAGTATTGTCATTGAAAGAGAAATGTGCGATGTTTTTGAAAAATGATATGTCAGAGGAGAACGTATGTGAAATATTGTCTCTGGCTGATGCAGTTAATCATGAATTTTTAAAATTAGCTTCCATTGAATATATAATAGCGAAGTCAGCAACAATTTTATCTTCTCCACAATGGATACCATGGATGGAAAACAATATGAAATTGGCTACTGCTGTATTCGCAAAATTAACGTTAAGCCAATCTTCCACAAAAAACTGAATATTAGGTAAGTTATAGCTGAAAAATACAAACAATATATTTCTAATGACTGAATATTTTGTTACTTGCAAAGGTTTTCATAATATCCTTAATATACATTTTTTTTTATTAAATATAATCTAATTTAAAAACGAAGTTAAGACAAGTTTAAAATTCTGTTGTTCTTAACATCATTGCTTAATTCGCGATCGCAACGAACTATAGGGGGCGTTGTTGTATGAGACGCATACCTGCGATTTCTATATGAACGTTGTTATTTCTATATGAAAGTTATTTCTATATTCAGTTAATCTGGAGACGTCTTTAATGTAGCGTGTAGCATTGTAACGTTCCTTCTTTAATGTGGCTTATTAAATTTAAAAAAGAAAAATGTTTGATATCCTTTCTTATACAACCGAAAACAAGATGGTATCTCTTTTTTTAGAGAAGGAACATCCAACACACAACGGAAAAATATTTGGAAATAAACAGAAAAAAATATGTATCTTCTTATTAGACTTAAAACCTAATGACTGAGAAATAGTTTTACTAAAACTAATGATATAACATGAAAGGCCTATTTAAACTTTGCATTCCGTAGCTTTAAGAATCATATTACTTCAAACATTAAAATAAGCAAAAAGTATACATAAGGTTCATAATTTTATGTAATTTAATTTTGTAGAAAAAGTCTTTTGACAAGTAATTTTATCAAAAAATTTTAAGTTTTAATAAAAATCATTATTTAGAAACTGAAAAATGTAAAGCAAAGAATGCTTACGATACAAAACAAAAAAAAACCAATTCTAAAAATTCCTTATATTGAAATAAACAACTTTCATGTTTTTTTCTTCTTTGATTCATAATCGGACGTAGAAAACCATTCTATAGAAAACTATCATCAAGAAAAAAACTACTTAAAAGTAAAATTTATTATTTTATAAAAATTAACGCTTACCTGCTTTATAAATCAGAAGAATTCCAAAATGATTTGTTCTTTTTGTTACCATTTTTTAGTGCTACGAAAATGCGTCTTTGCGATTTGCCAAAAATAGAACAAGATGCAATTTTATTTTTTCTGGAGCGAAATATTTTGCCCATTGTCCACCGAAATCCGATAAANATATGTGAAATATTGTCTCTGGCTGATGCAGTAAATCATGAATTTTTAAAAGTAGCTTCCATTGAATATATAATAGCGAAGACAGCAACAATTTTATCTTCTCCACAATGGATACCATGGATGGAAAACAATATGAAATTGGCTACTGCTGTTTTCGCAAAATTAACGTTAAGCCAATCTTCCACAAAAAACTGAACATTAGGTAAGTTATAGCTGAAAAATACAAACAATATATTTCTAGTGACTGAATATTTTGTTACTTACAAAGGTTTTCATAATATCCTTAATATACATTTTTTTATTAAATATAATATAATTTAAAAACGAAGTTAAGACAAGTTTAAAATTCTGTTGTTCTTAACATCATTGCTTAATATGAGTATGCTGTAGCAAATTTAAATTCTTATTATTTTCATGCACTGTAAACCAGAATTTTTTCAGTCATTTTGTAAACTGAAAATCTTAATAATTTGAGATATGCAAAAATGTTCATTTTGATAACCTTTATAAGCGGTTAGCTTTTTTTGTGAGTTAATTGTTTTTATTCCTATGCAAGCTATAAGCTAACATCTACCAACCATAAAAGCTGTAAAAAAATTGTATTTATAATCATAAAAATAGCTAGACAAGGCTAAATTTAATCAACTTATTGTTTCTTATCGTATCTTATCTGTTACTTATTATAGCTCTCTCGACGTCCTAAAATGAAAGTGTAGGTGTACTGGATTTGAATCACACAATATTTGTTTTAAATTCAGTCGGCGTGAATTTGAAATATCTTGTGATTAAAAATATCAAATTTACGACCAATTATGATTTTTTTTGCATAAATATAAGATACGCAAGCAATCATAATTAAGGTTGAAAGTTTGTCGTGTGGAAAAAAAGATTGAAAATCTCGGAAAATTCGCGAGGAAATGGTAAAAAGAATAAAAGACATAAATGGTACAAAGAATAAAATAAAATTATTTAAAAGTGCTTACAAATATTATCTTTACTCAAGTATTTAGAATTTAATACAATGTTTAATAATTCTTGTTCATGCATCGTCTTTCAACGCGTAACTCATATTATTTCTGGACTGTGGAAGCTGTGGCGTGAAACTGATCTGAGTTTGGAGTCGAAAAAATGTTTGAAAGATTACATTACTTCAAGTTAATATCCAAAAGGGTTTTATTTCTCACTCCAAAGGGTGTAATTAGCACTACACTTGAAAAGACTTATTAATTTGTGAAAAATTTGTGAAATTAGTGAAAACACAATTAGTGAAAAAAAACCGGCAAAATGACATTTTTAAAGAAATTGGGATTTCTTTGGGAAAGTTCTTAATTTAGCTTTATTTAAATATATAGCATAGTTTTTTTTATTACTAAATCTATTCATTTCAAAGATACTTCAAAATAAATAGAATAGAATTCGGTGACAAATAGTCAATAAACAATCCTAGAAAATTTCTTGCTTGGCATCGAACGCTAAGGCACGGGAGAAAAAAAAATTGAAACAACATTTAAAATTTTAAAATTTAAAATTTCAAGTTCGCAATAGTTTGCGTTTCCGACACACTGCCCTAGTGAAAAGTTTAAATTTTTATCAAAGCCAAGTCGAGTTGAAAAAAGTTTTATTATGTGCTTAGGCAACTTTTTGTTTACTATTATTGTTACTAGCTAAATACATGTTTTTCTTTTCGAAATAAAACTAAAAAATCAATAAATTAGTAATGGTCAGCATTACAAAATCATGCAGAAAATTGCATGATTAACGGAGAAATTCGGTTCAACTCTATTGCTCGAGATCAACCTTTAATGGTCAAAAATTAACATAATTAACAAATTTCTCCGATACTTATATCATTCGAAAGTCTGTACTCCCCAGTACTCGTAGTAGGCATCGAGATACGCATTTTAGAACATATTCAAACAGCACCAATCAACTAATATGAGTAATACATTTAGCCAAAAATTTTTCGATTTTTCAGATCATTAATTATAAATTTTAAATAAGAAGAGGCTCATCAACAATCTTTAAGATGTGAGTGCTCCCTTAAAAATATTAAGTGTTAAATCCGAAATGATAAGAGGACTCATATGTTTAATAAATCTGATGGCACCTTTTTCTTAAAATCGGCTTTGCTCATCAGATGAAGAATAAGTCTACATATGAACGAAACAAAGAGATAGTTAAACTATATTTTGCTCCTTGTTAACTGAGATTGCCATGCTGATTCAAATTATGCATTGATAGAAACATATCAGAACTCCATTGGGATCTGGCAAACCGCGAGAGGTTTTTGTGATTCTTACTGCCATTTTGCGCAATTGGTAATTAGTTTTACGCAAAAGAATTATTCTTGAAGGTGACGTTGTTTTTTAAACCGGTGTTTTCTTGCTTTCCAGATACAAGATTAAAAAGTTGAAAACATATATAAAAAAAGGTGCACATTCACTAAGTGGATTGGTGCTCAACGGCGGAAATTAGTGAAGTAGTTACCTAAATTATGAAAAAATGAGAGTCGCATATCTAATTATGAACGCGTAGCTTACCACGATAGGAAAAACCTAAAATTGTCTTCCAATCTTTGTCATAAATTAAAATGTGTCGTTTTTGTTTGTAATTGCTTTATTTTTAAGGAAAAATTTAAAATGTGTGCTTCAACAACTATACCTAGATACTTTTTATATTAAAACCAATAAAAAAAAACTTTTATTTAATTTCAGAAACACTTTTAGATGTAACGAAATGACATAACTTTTTGACCACAATCAACGCAATTGCAAAGAATAATTTTATTTAAATTAAAAATTACCAAATTCTTGCCCATTTAAGCGATACATACCGTTGGAACTTTTACTCCCGGAAAGTTGAGCTCACGCTGCCTCTGAATCGTTTTTGATCGGTTTCGGACTAACAAGGCTAGATAAAATTTAATACCAGTTTGTTACAAATTAAGATTAATAAAATTTTAATCTATGAATATAATCCTATATACATGTATATTTACTTTATCTTTTCAAACAAAAATATATTTCATGAAAAACATTAAAAGTCCGCCGGGAAAACAAGCAAGCGTCACTTAGCTGGTTCTTCCACTAAACACTTTAAATATAACAGCATTTAAAAATTTTTTTGCTATCAAATATATAATTCAAGATGCTCTCTCTCGCTGATTAATCACTTCCTCTGACTCTGATTCTCTCCCTCAGGACAAAGGTCTACAAAATTTTTATTTTGCAAAGAGCAGCCTATTAAGGCATTTGAGTCGGCAAAAATTACATTTTTCCCCTTGTAGTATATATGCTAAGTAAGCATTGCAGAATGCTGGTGAACTACAATCAATAACACACCAACATTCATTCACATGTTTAGAAGCATGCTTGGAACATAAAATTTTCAAAACTTTGGTTTCAAATCAAAATTTTTTGCTTTTATTTTTGTCCACATTTTTCCTTATTACCCTGTATCTTATGATCAGTAATTATTAAAGAATTGCGATAAAGATTACGATTAAGAATCTACCTATAAGAGACTTAATCGATTGCATCCATGAATGCAAGCTTGTCATGAAAAAATTATATGAATATCTTTATTCATATGAATAGAACTTAAATAATTCTCGTTTTTTTACGTTGTCAATCGTTCAAAGATTAATGAATCTACGAAAAGGACTTTTAGCATCCATGATGTTTGTAATTGGTAGACACTGGCAAAAATAAAAGCTACAGGACAGTGCTAGCTGCAGTCAAATTTAAAAAATATTTTTTAAAGAAAATGCTCAAGTTTTAAAATATCTTCCGGTGAATCGAAATGTTTTGAACAAATCTCAAATTTACCTATTATAATTTATGGAAGTCACTGCAGAATACTATAATGAAAAGCTTGCAAATATAATCTTAGTAATCAAATATTAACATTTATAAAATACTAGCTGTACCCTGCGTGCGTTGCAACGCTTTCAGTTTGAATTT